TGATATATATATATATATATATATATATATATATATATATATATATATATATATATATATATATATATATATATATATATATATATATATATATATATATATATATATATATATATATATATTTTTTTATTGAAAAAATTATTACAAAAAAATAAAAAAAAAATTTCAACTTGAAAAAGTTAATTATTGAAAAAAATGTCAATATTTTTGATTTTTGTAACAAAAATTCTGAAAAAATTTTAATTAAAAAATTTCACATCTAGAAATTAAAAAAAAAATATTTTTCTTTTTATAATTGATTTGTAATAAAAATTTAACAAATTTTTTAGATGTCTGCTAATTTTAGTATCATCATTTTTCTACTAGGTTTATTGATAAATTTTTTAAAACAAAAAAAAAAAATTATTTTTCTTAAGTTATATTCTTTAATATAGAAGAATAAATTTTCTACAAAGGATTTAATTAATTAAAAAATTTATGAACAACATTTTTATAACTCTTCTGATTGATTGAATAAAAAAAATTAATAATTTCATCAAAATCAAAAACTACGAATTAAATTATTTTTGATAGAAATTTATTAAATGCTAAGAAATATAATAATTCAAATTTTTCAGTGAACAATGTCATAATTTGATATCAGCGACATACAAAACGTCATGTAAAACTGGAGAAGGTATAAATGAAATGTTCGAAGACATAGCTCAACATTTGGTGGAAGCCAATAGATCAAAGATGGGCTTACATGACATGGACGATCACTTTAAAATTTCATACGTCGACGAAGCCAACGATCCATCATGCTTGTGCTAATTTACAACGAATAATATATTTATACATATAAATTTAATCTCGGTTATGAATTTACAGCGCGTTTTTTTTTTTTACCTAGAAACTAATACGTAACATAATAACTCACTTTAAAAGTACTTTTATTTACGAAAACAAGGAATGAATAACAATTTTCGTTTACAAATATACAATTTACATTCTTAAGCATTTTGAGATAATTTTGAGAATCCTTGGTGCAGGCTTTTTTTTTATTTAAATAAAAAGCCATAATTTTTAAGATGACTTAAAGTAAAAAAACTTAATGCTGAGTCCACTTGATTGTCTTTAAGTCGATTCCATCCTGAACCATCTCCCAAAGTGGGCTGTAACAAAAATTTACGCTACTATTAATATTAATTTACGATTATTAATATTTTTTAAATAATTGAATTAGTAAATTAACTAAACATATTTTGTAATAAATTAACTTAATTTAATAAAACATTACCTCAATGAAATTTGTTAATTTTTTTTAAATTTATTACCTCATATCTCGAAGACGTTTTACATGACGAATTGTACTTTCAGCAGTGTAATTAATTTCTTCGAGAGTCGTAAATCTACCGATGCCAAATCTAATAAAATATATCATATATTATTAATTAAAAATCAATAAATTAATTCATTGTTAATTGTGAGATTAAATCCAGCAGAAATTTAATTATTTTTTGGTTCTTTCTAAACAAAAAAATATATTAGGAAAAAATTTCATAGATAATATTTTAAAAGTTCTGCATATAGAATGTTTTTATTTAAGGGGTTGCATGGATTTCCTCCGAGAAAAAATGGCCTACTTTGAACAATTTTTTTTTTTTTTAATATAAAAAATGAAATATTTTATTCAAACTTTTTACTGTCTTAAAGATACATGCTTAATAAGGGATTACTAAAATTTAAATAAAAAATATTAAAAACTATCGTTGAGACGTTATTTATGGCGGAAAAAAATGCATCTGCATTGATAACAGAACTAGCAGGATTATTTAGGGTGAAAAAAAAATATGTGCTTTAGTTAATACTTCAAACTAGGTCTTGAACAAAGGGAAAAAAAAAAATGAAAATTGGATTTTTGGCAGAAGTTTTTAAAAAAATTAAAAATTTCGCTAAATTTTTGCGTAACAATAAAGACAGATAAGATTAATTTAAATCATTTAGTAATTGAAGTAAAAAGTAAATTTTTTAATAAAATAAAAATGAATGATAATAATAAATTAAAGTTCCAACAAACCTAATACTCGAGTGTGCTAAATCTTCGGAAGCGCCAATAGCTCTCAAGACATAACTGGGCTCTAAACTGGCACTCGTGCAGGCAGAACCGCTGCTCAGAGCAATATCTTTCAGTGCCATCAACAAAGACTCTCCTTCAACGTACGCGAAAGACAAATTAACACATCCTGGGTACCAAGCAACCGGGTCACCGTTCCGTATTACTTGTGGTAAATTTGAAGATATCTTCTCGATTAAATGATTAGCAAGATGTGTTATATGTTTCTTATCATACTGAAATCAAGACACACTGTTAATTAACTCATTAACTACTTAATTATTTAATGATAACGATAAAAAATGAATGTTTACTAACTTCCATTTCATTTTTAGACAATTCACAAGCGGCACCGAGTCCCACAACCAACGGAGTAGGCACAGTACCACTTCTCATGCCTCGTTCCTGTCCTCCGCCACTTTGGATCGGTTCTACACGAACTCTGGGTCTTCTTCTTACGTACAGAGCGCCGACACCCTTAGGACCATATATTTTGTGGCCGCTCATCGACATTAGGTCAATGTTCATCGCTTGTACATCTACTGGAATTTTTCCCACCGCTTGCGCTGCATCTGTATGGAAAAATACTTTCTTTTTTCTGGAAAAAAAAAAAAGAATTTTTAATGTAACTAATAAAAATAATACATTTTTCTATAATTATATAATAAACAAAAAAATTTTTTGTGAAAAATAAAATTACCGACAAATTTTTCCTATTTCTTCAACAGGTTGTCGTACTCCGATTTCATTATTCACGGTCATTACCGATACAAGAGAGGTGTCAGGTCTTATTGATGATTCTAATTGCTCCAAGTCAATCAAGCCGTTTGAGTTAACAGACAGATATGTTACGTCGAATCCTTCAGCTTGAAGCGCTCGACATGAATCTAATACACACTTGTGTTCCTAAATAAATAAATAAAAAATAATTAATTAAATGCAGATATAAATAAATACAAGTGATTTTAAATGAAGTGTACTAACTGTTTGAGTCGTCACAATATGTTTCTTCTTGGCTTTATAAAATCTAGCAACTCCCTTTACGGAAATGTTATTGCACTCAGTAGCACCGGATGTGAAAATTATTTCCTTTTTATCTGCGTTTATTAAATCGGCTACTTGCTGTAGTAATTTTTGATCAAATTAATTTTATTAATATGAATATTTTTTTCAATTCATTATTATTATTATTATTAATTGGAGTAATTACCTGACGGGCATGTTCAACAGCTGCTTCAGACTCCCAGCCATACATATGTGTCCGTGAATGAGGATTACCATGATAGGATGTTAGGTATGGCATCATCTTATCCAGTACTCTTGGGTCCTTAATAAATAAATATGTTTTTAGGAAAAATAATATTTAAATTAATTATTTATCTTTAAAATAAAATATTGCAGGTATTTAATTAAATTTAGTCTTTACTACAGTTTAATCGTACAATTATTTTTAGTTCTAATTATCCATACTTGATCAATTATCATGTCGCGTTACTAAAAGCCAAAATTTTTTTTCTCCAATCAACTAGGGACTGAAGAAAATAAAAAAACATTTTTTCAAGTCCAAAGGACATGTATGAAAAAATTGTCAAAGTACCTCCAAACGTAGAGACCTAATTAAAAAATTATTTTTGGAAATTGAACTGTAAATACAATCACAGCCCATTTTTTTTGAAATTGTCAATTTTTGTCAGGAGATAAAAATTTTATTTTAATTTTTTTTCAGTGAATTTTCACCAAATATGAAAAATTGAAAATTTTAAGAAATTGAGATGTTAGCGTTTTCAGTCTCACTTCCTTTTTTCATATCCTCTAGTTGATTGGAGAAAAAAAAAAAAAATTATTAGTAACGCGATATAAATTCAAATCTGTCTAAAATAAATTTATAATAATAATAGTAATATATTCATGATACTAAAATCAGTAGACGCTTGAAAATTTTTTTATTTTTTTTTGAAAAATAAACTAGGTCTAAAAAAGTGTTATTAATAATTGCATTCATAATTCTTTAGAGCTTTTAAAGATGAAATTTTTTGATTACATTTTTCTTGCTAAAATGTACTTGTCAAAAAAATTATAAAAATTATCAGATGTCTTTCAATTTCAGTATAATATACTATGACTACGATTATCATCCATGATTTATAAACAATAATGAAAATTATCAGGAACTTGGACTATAAAAAATAACTCAGTGTCAAATTTTTTAAATGTTGCAACGTTTCGTTGTATTTCACAACTTCATCAGGCAAACTGTACAAAAGAAAACACATTGTTAATAACAATATGACAAGGATAACAAAAAGATAAATATTAAAAAATCTTACATTTAAGGTTAACACTGTTGTATCTCAAAATTAACTCCGAAAAATTTCATCGTTTTGCAATATATAAATAAAGTTGAACAAGTGGTAACCATAATATTAAAATATGTAATTGACCATAATATGTATATTAAGTATAATATACATTCAGTTATTTGAAAACTTTTAATTTTTCTTAATGAATCAATTTGAAAAAAAAAAAAAAAAACATGTGTAAAGATAAAACTTTAAAAACAAATTTTTCAAGATTATTTCTTAGTACATGTCGTTACTTCTCAAATAAAAAAAAAAGTTTTGAACTGTCTACTGATTCTATCAAACATTTAATTATACTTAAAAATAAAATCTTTTGTAACTTTTAAAAATTGAACTTGATTTTTTTCTATCGAAAGAAAAAAAAAATTGTATTTTTACTATTAAAATACTTATAAAAATATAAAATATTTATTATCAGATACCAGAGGTGTTGTCGCCTGTGCATCAAGATAAAGAGATCGCCCTTCTGCAGGACCTCTTTTATACTCATCAGTAATTGGAGCTACGAAGAAATAAATAAATTTATTATTATCAAAATTATAAATAGATAATTATTAATAATAATAATAATAAAAAATAAATAAAGTAATTACATTCAAATTCGGAGACATCAGAACGCTGTCGAACAGTGCGTAATATTGGGCAACAGTCTTTGACACGCTGAAGAGCTGTCACCAAAGTCCTTGACGGACGTAACATCATTTATTTGCTGTTAATTCCTGAGACAGTAAAATATGCTAATTATTTAATACTTTATTTAGTAAAAAAATTAATCGGTGCACCGCTAAACGCATGGACACTTGTGTTTAACTTTGTTAACCTCTTACTTACTTTACTCTATTTTTCTCTTTTTTCCTTTCGGTTCTCACTTTACTCGCAATCACAAGTCATAACACTAAAACCAGGAATGTGAAACATGATTATTTGCCTTACCGCCCGTGGTCAGTATGTAGTTTATTAAGTTTATTTTTTAGTCCAAAGATGGCAGCACATTTTTATTAAATGGTTCGGGCTTAAAAAATTGAAAATAAATATATGATTTATAGGAAGAAAAGTTAAAAAATTAATTGCAAACTTTTTAATATTTTTTAAAAGTATCAAATTTTTATTTTTCCTTACAGAAAAAAGAAAGTTTATCTTCAATTACCCGTAATAAATTATGATATTGAAATTATTAGAGATGTAAAATAATACTGAAAGTATAGCTGACAGCTGTCAATTTTTTTAATTTTTATAAAAAATTAATTACAATTAAAAAATGGTTTTAAAAATTTCCACTAACATTTTTTTTTTTCATTTTCACATGTGAAATTTATAAAAATTAATTTAGCAGATATTTAATAATTTTAAGAATTTTTCTAATAAATAAATTACTGGATAAAAAAAATTAGAAAAAAAAATTGACATTTAGAAAATTAAATAAATTAAAAACGCAATTTTTTTATTAAATTTTTTTTTCACAATAATTTCATTGTTATTTAATCAAAAAAAAATTTCTAATGTCAATTAAGTTCAGTGTATTGATCTAAAACAATTTTTTAGGTTTTTATAACAATTAAAATATTATGAAAAAAAATTACAAGTGCAAATTTTTAAAAATATTTTTTTATAATTGATTGATTTGTCATAAAAGTCCCAAAAATTTTCAGATATTTGCTGATTTCAATATCATATTTTTTTAATAATTTCAAATTATTCCCTCAAAGAAGAAATAAAATTTATTATTAATTACATATTAAAAATTGAATCTTTTAATCATTGAATATAAAAATAGTTGTTTTAATTTTTGTCTCACTAAAATTTGCGAGTAATTTATTCTGTACCATATTTCACCGGTAGGAAAAAAAAATGACTAAATGAAAATTAATAAAAAAGAGTTTATGAACAATTGAACAAAGGCTGTTCTTCCTTATGCCATTTTAAACTGTACCTTTGTCTCAACGTACATCCGTATAAATATTCATAGCTCGCGAACTGTATTTGATTAGATAATACTGTTGTCTATTTTACACACAACAATAATCGGATAATGTGATAGAAGAACAAAATTATTGGATTTATCCAGGAAGCTTCCAGATTATTTTCCCGCAATTTCGTTTATCGGTACAGCGGAGTTTTGAAAAATTTAAAACCTAAAAAGTAACCGTCGTGGGAATTTTTATGACGACCGTTATTCAAGATCTTCATCTCTTACTCGCAATGAGTGCTACTCTGACAATGTTCGCTACTGGTTTTCACGAGAGATTTTGTTTTCTGATTCCATTCTCTATGTAATATGTTATGCTATTCACGTATATTCTTGTCATTTAATTTTAAGACGCTTTTAGTCTTTGTTATTACTCACTGTCTCGTAGGATATGACCTTTCTTCTCTTTTTTTACACATTTTATGTCTGCTAAACATAACAATGCCATTAGTAGTGTTTTTTTTTCTTACGCCAATCAAACGCTTCTGTTGTAACCTTTAACAGTATTTTAACTAACACGATAAAATTAATAAATGCCTTTTTTTTTAATTGTTGATCAATTAAAATTTTTAAGCTTAGAAAAAGATTTGATCTTTTTAAAAAATTACAATAATAATTTTGATGCTATTAATTTAAAGTTTTAGGATTTACAAATATACATAAAATATGATACAAAAAACATTAAAACCAAAATAAATTTATTTAATTAACAAACTGAAGAAATAAATTTTAATTTTAATTTTTGACTAATTTCATATAAAATTAATTTTTCTTGCTCATTAATAATTATTTGTTAACATAAGCACATGATTAAAAATTTTTATCATTTTCAATATTCAAAGGTAGTAAAAAAAATAAACATTTGTCAATTCATTAAGAAATATGTTTAAAACACGAATGAAATTTTTTTTTCTCAATATTATCAAACTTTCAATATTAAAACAGAGAAGAAGAAGTAAATATTTAGTTTTAGCGCTAAATTATTAACCGATCATTTTTTAAACTAATTATTTTGCAAGAAATAGAGTATTATAATTGCACGGAAAAAAGAAAACCAGAATAATTACAGTATAAAATGTAAAATCGGTCGCATCGTAATCAAAACTAGAAAAATTATACAGTTGGAAATAACATTTTTCTAAATTCAATTTTTGAATTTAATTTTCAGAGCTTTTAATGTAAATATTACATTCTACAATGTAATTCTTATAAAATCTGTAATAATTACAATCTGAAACTATAATTTTTCCAGTTGTCATCACGAAGCGCCACATCGCATTATATATACTTTGCATCTAATGTAAAAAACTTATTACTACTCCTTAAGTCTATTAATCTGTCCAATAATTTCTTATCTTTATATTTTTTCTAGTTGATGCACAAAAATGATGCCATCTAATCATTTAATTATTTAATCTTGTAAAAACTTCATATGTATATAGCCGATCGGCGTTTATTCTATTTGAAATAAATAAATATATACTGTAATTTTTCGAGTTTTCATTTTTCTGTGTGAAACAATGTGATAAATTGTATAAAAAGTGGAATATTGTAAAAAATTTTTTACATTTTCCTGTCAAACATGTCTTTTTACTGTTCGCGAAAGTAAGCATGTGAATAAAAAAAATTTCATAATAAATAGTGTTAATTTTATAAAGCGCTTAATAACTCTCGATAAAATCACCGAATTAATTACCGAAACTAAGACCTTCAGAAGAACATCTTATCTTACGTCCGACAATGAAATCCATCGTAGGAAAGAGGAAAAAAACGAAAACATGTCTTCCTACATCAGACAGTAAATAACTTAATTAAACGAAATGAATAGTCGTTTACGAAAGTGAGACAACTGAGTAATAAAAAAACAATAACATTAACAGAAGTCCTTGGTGACTTGGTGAATGTATCATAATTTACAGATGTACTGATATACTGATGTACCGATGTACTGCGTAGCTCTAATCAGTTTAAATCTCTTTACCAAGGATACCAGGACAAAGCCAGATTTGTTGGACTCAGTACCGCCAGTACAGAACGGAGTAACACTTGTAGCTAGTAACTTGTAGCTTGTAGCTTGTAGTCTAGCTGGGTCTGAGTGTAGACGAGTGAGGAGAGTTGCTCGTTGGTGCATGTATTATACATGTTTTAAGATGTTTCAATTGGATAAAAAAGTAACCGTCAACGTTCCTGATGATGATGATGAATAAGATGTGTGATAGCTTGTAACTAAATAAAAGGAGGAAAGATACAAGCCTACTTGATTCTGCTTGGTGTAGAATCTAGCATCTAGTCTCTAGTCTTCACTATCTAGTATCTAGTATCTAGTATCTAGTACCTGGGATCGTGTAGTCAGGAGAGAAGGACGAGCATGTGGGTGAAGGCTGAACAAACTTCTTTCTCACTTACTCAAACCTGGATGATAGCGTTACACTTCAGGATGTGTCGAAAGTGAAACTTCATCAAGGCCTTTTATGTGAATATGGATGCTACTACGAATGTATAATATAAGCTACCACCTTTCTGGGCATGGGAGACCTGCTGCAATAATTACAGGGGGCAATCTTAATACTTGACTTAAAATTGCTGGGATCAACATTTATTTCGTTCGCTAATTTTTGTTTAGTTCTTTTACTTTTTTAATGAAAAAAAAATTTATGTTTAATTTAAATTGATACGAAGAAATTACAATTGGCTGCTGAATTTTTTATACAATTATTAAATTCAATAATTGAGGAGTAAAATTTCCGGTAGTTTTTTGGAAAAAGGGTCTACGATATTTTAACCCTTAAAAATAATTTGAATTTTTTTAACAATCATATTTTTTTTAAAGTTCATTAATAATAGAATTTAAAAAGAAAAATTTTAAATTTGAGTTTTAAAAAAATTAGAATACAAAAAAAGAAATTTTTTAACATTTCTTCTCAGTCTCAAAATTTTTTGCTCATTAAATCCAATTAATTTTAATTAAGAAGGACACAGTAAAAAATTTTGCGTCATTGCGTCAAAAAATTTTTTATCAACTTTTTTAAGGGTAAATTTAAAAATTTTTTGCGTTAATTCTCTTAATTTAAATCAACACAAAAAAGTGTTGAAATTTTTTAGTGTCAAAATTTTTTACTAATTTTTAGAAGAAATTCTTCTTGGTTTAAGTAAATTTTACTTGATTCAATAATTTTTCGTCTTGATCCAAGATACTGAAACTTTTTAGAATTATTTTCTTGGTTTAAGAATTTTTCTCTTGATTCAAGTTAATTTTTTTTTTCTGTGTGTAGAAAAATTACTATGAATAACTGAAACATGAAGTAAGTAAATATTTTAATGAAAATCAAAATTATTAATCTTAAATTTGATAAAAAAATCTTAACCAAGTTTTTAAAGTCAATAATTTTGGTTCCTTTGTTAAAAATTTTTAATAAATTACATTCAAGGCTTACGTCAAGTTACAATGAACAATAACAATAAGTATCAAGTAACTTCCGGAAAATTTTTGGATTTGAAACTAAAAAAAAGATGTTTTGGTAAGTATTGCAGCACCTCTTCCCATTATTCTCTTTGGTCATCCTGAATCCTCAGTCCTTACAGTAGAGATGTTCTGCTGGTAGAGTTTACGAGTCACTCAAGCAGGACCACCTGATGGAGTAATAGCGTCATGGACGTATCATGTGTGGTACACCAAACGCCTGACGTGTTGTTGTTATTGTTCATCATTCCCGCGTTCAACAACCGTATAATATCT